TCCAGTGTGTTCTTTATCTGATTGTTGCAAATGAAAATCAATAAAACTCAAGTATAAAAAGGTTAGTTGGATTTGCTTAATTTAATGATAAAAAAGTCATAATACAGAAAAGTCTAACATTTGGGTCTATATTCACCTGCCAATGTTTCATTCTCATGGGATAAAAGGATCGCGTTCCCCTTATTCCTGGGTGGTGCCTGGCCTTCCATTTCTACTGCCATCTAATTCAGGTAAACCATTTAAGTCTGTCTAGTACTGTGCTGGGTTAGATATGTGAACATCTATGTGAATTATTGGCCGTTAATTTTGAAAACATTTGTCCTTGAAAATTTCTCGAAATGTATCATAACAAAAGAGTGGCAACGCTGAATTCAGTCACTCAGTCTTTCTCTTTGTCTTTCCCTTAATGCACTTCCGGAAGCAGAAACTGCAGGTCTTGATGAATAGGAATAAGAGGAACAGAACTATGGTGAGGACGAAGACCAGCACATCCAGGCTGTGATACTGGTACCAGGTGAGCTCATGGGCCTGGTACTCCTCAGTGTGCTCGGCACCGTTGTTTCTCATGGTGAATACTCGATCCAGAATACCGCCCATCCGCAAGACTATCATTGGTCTGTCGTGGTGGATACTGGACAGCCGCATGGCATTCTCCTTGTACCTATGGGGATATGTAGGGATTTTTTGTTTCAGGTATTTTAACAGTTAAAATCTCCAACAGAAAAAAACAGTATATGCATGGAAAATCTTTTTTTACATTTTTTTATGTGGTGGTAATTGCACCCTGTCATACTGTGTTAGACTATGGGTCCTTGGCATGGCGTCAGTCTTGCTTCTGTATTAATGCAGACACTCCAAAAAGGCAAAATGGCAAGAAAAAATGTTCATTACCTTTCAATACCCTAACACAGACTAAGTGCAGACAGGTGAGAAAACTTACGATTTCTCGTTGATGACAGCATTGATTGCATCTCTAAGGTCCTCAGTCTTCATGAAGTTCAAGCGTACGTTAACTGCAGCTCCCTTAGCCTTAATATGAACCATGTTGTCCGGCTGGTCAGCGAATATGGGGATACCCACCATGGGAACACCGTGGTAGATGGCCTCATATATCCCATTTGCGCCACCATGGGTGATGAACGCTCTGGTCTTGGGGTGACCTAAAAGGGTAACAAGAAAATGAAATAACCATATGATTCATAAAGAACATATTTAGACCCGTTCATTTGTTTTCCATTTTGTTATGTTGCAACCTTGTGCTAAAATTGTTTCAATTATTTTTTTCATCAATCTATAGTCAATACCCTGTAATTAAGGGATTGTTTTCAAATCTATTAAAAAGGGGGAAAAAAATAAGTATCTCATCAGTGGACAGCCATTTTCAGGTCTTTCTAGTGTTAATGATATGACCTTACTATGATAAGGTAATGAAACCAGGTTTTCATGAAGGCTTTGTGCAGTTTTCCCTCCACCATGAGCAGCCCCCAGCCCTTGCTGCTGAAAAACACCCCCAGAACATGATGCTGCCACCACCATGCTTAATTGTTGTGATATTATTGCACAGGTGATGAGCGGTGGCTGGTTTCCCCCAGACATGATACTTAGAATTGAGGTCAATCTTGTCATCAGAGAGAGAGAGAGAATTTCTTACAGTCTGAGAATCCTTTAGGTGCTTTTTTGCAAATACGAAGAAGACTTGTATGTCTTTCACTGAAGAGAAATCTGGCCACTCTGCCACAAAGCCTATATTGGTAGAGTGCTGCAGTCATTGTTGTCCTTCTGGAAGTTTCTGCCATCTACACACAGGCTCTCTGGAGGTCAGCCAGGGTGACTGTCAGGTCACCTCTCTTACCAAATGACACACTATATAGTTGAATCACACTACATACTCGACTACTCGACTACATACTTGACGTCATACTTAGTATCCTGTTTTTTCCAAGTCTCTAATGCATTTTTTAAATTTTTTAAGAGGAAGGAAGCTAGCAGATTTGAGTGGTGTAATTGCACATTTTAAAAGTAAAATGTATGGCAGAGTATGTTGGCTGTTGAATGGATAAGGCTGTTCAGAAGCTTTTATGAAAAACCAACTTACCCAGTAGGTCATTCTGAGGAATCCAGTCGTATATTCGGGTGTTGGCACCCAGGGTCTCTGGTTTTTCTCCACTATATCTCCACAGTACCTATAAATAACAGGAAAAAAGCTTTAGATTATCATAATGCTAATTTTATGTCAGAACTCAATGCACTGCAGTACATTTTACAATACGTGAATGCCAGCATGGTCAAAATCAGTCTCAGACTTGAACCTTGCTTTAGATAAAAATCCATCACACATAAGATTTGGTTTTTGTTCTTACATAGCATCATCTGGTAACTAAAGTTTACATTTTTATATTTTAGGACATCTGTCAACAATTAAATAGCATTGCATTATAATGCAGTATAATATTGAAAACACAAGACTCACAAAAATGAATGTAAACTTTTATGAATTAACTATTTTGAGTCTTTGCAAGTTGATTTTCTACCAAAATGAATTGTTGTATGTTAGTATGCTGTGACAGTGGTCAGCAGGAATGTAAAAGTTAAGGCAATCTGCAGTCTGACTCTCACATGGAGATTGACCTCTGACCTTTTGTGGGAT